AGTGACTTGGGAGCAAGAGAGTTGATGTCTCTGGTCTAGGAGCTTCATAACCAAAGGTAATTAAAGCGTAGATTGGTTTACTCACAGAGCACATCTTCATTTATCTACCGAATGATAAGGGTAAATTTCAGACTAAATTTAAGCCAGTATTTTAAAGCATTGGGCAATGACTAATTGTTTCCTAATCAGGCTTGGGGAAAGTTTCAAGAAGAGAGAAAAGGATTTAAAGTGGGATAATAATTCTTTCTTCAGTGCCTTTCTCCACTTGACACTGTTGCATTACAATTTCATTGCCCTTGTTTTGAAGTATTATAAACAGTGTTGGACCCTTACGTGTTCAGAAGATAAAGTCTTTTCCTGTAACACACAGTTGTGTCATTTGCATTAGGGCTGAGAAGTGTGTTTTCAGTGGAGAAGGCTTAATAGTCACCATATAGACAACTACCTACCTCAGTTCCTTCAGGGGAATTCCTGTTTGTTTCAGACTTGACCTCAAAAAAGCAGGGAGTCAGTGTTTGCAGTACAGTAAGAAACTGCTAGATACAATTTGATTACATGGTTTATTCGACTACCCTCTTATTTTCACATATGGTTATTTTTTAAAGCGTTTATTTATTTATTTATTTTTTAATGTTTTTTATTTATTTCTAGGAGAGAGAGAGACAGCGTGAGCAGGGGAGGGTCAGAGAGAGAGGGAGTCACAGACTGAAACAGGCTCCAGGCTCTGAGCTGGCAGTCAGCACAGAGCCCGATGCGGGGCTCGAACCCATGAACCGCAAGATCATGACCTAAGCGAAAGTCGGAAAGTCAGACGCTTAACCGACTAAGCCACCCAGGCGCCCCGAGCGTTGTTTATTTTTAATCTGAGTCTTGTTTGGTTCATAATAGTGAACTACTGGCCAGAGCTATACATCCAAAAGTGGCTCCAGTACCTTTGCCGCTTTTGTGATTTAAAATTGTAATTGCAACATTTGATGATTGAATCAATATCAGCTCCCATAGTCAGGTCTCACCTTTTTCTTTTCTATTTTAAAATAAAAGCAGCTGCATTTTTCATTATTTTGCTTTTCCATTTCCCTTTTTTCTTTTGTTATAGAACTGTAGAAATAATGGAGGCAGAATTCTGCTAATCTGTCAAGCCCCGTTTTCTAGTCTCATCTCTCCCTGTGCAGAATGTTGTAGAAGCTTACATTTTTAAGCTTGCCATGTTTAATTAGCATGAGATGCTCTTTCCTGGTGCGGTTTTAATTCTTGGTCCATTATATTGCAGTTCTTAAAATACTACTCATGAACTATATGGTACCCCCATTTCCTGCTCTAGAAAACAAATTTTATGTATTGGGAGTCACATTTTGTTTAAATCCCAAGGTGAAAGAGTGGCAGATGTACAATTCAGCATGAAAATTATTTGTATGTATATCATAAGTGAATGTTTATTTTGCATTGGTTTAATGGTAATACTTGAATTGTTTCTTTACCAGTGTTAACCACTTACTCCTTTCTACTTCCATGGAGTTCCTAAATTAGTACTGATTCTATACCTAAACTTAAAAGTTTAAATGTATCATGGATAGCTTTAAATGTACAGGCTACTCGTGCTTTGATGAGAGATGTTGTAGGTAGAATATTCATTTAACCTTTAACCTGAATTGTTAATTGAACTTCACATTTCACTTTTAATAGTAACTATTTCACATACCTAAAGAAAAAAAAAAAATCAGTGATTTTAAACTTCAGTCATTCCTTTGAGGCCTGCCATGAACTCTTTTGTTTTTACTTGGACTTCTAGGTGAGGAAATTCAGAAAGTGACACCCATAACGCTATTTAGTTTAACATCTCCAAAGTTTGTAGCGGTGGAATTTCAAGCCTTTGTTTTCATTAATACCAACCAAAACAGGCTGATTTGTAAGGCTTTTTTCCGTTTGGCAAAAACAGCAAAATATGGAAAATTAATTCTATTTCAACCTGTATTCTATACTTTGTGATGAAAAATTGCTAATTCCTTCTTCAATAAGTAAAATTACTAAATTTAACGCCCCATCATAATTACAACTCTAAATTCTTAACTAAAGTTTTAATGTTTTAAGAGAACTCGCTATTTTAATGCATTGATTATTTTTGAACTTGGAATAATTGGGTGAAGTTAACCTGGAATGAATTGTAAGCTCAAATTTTATCTTGCTGATTTCCTAAGTTGAGCAGAAGCTTTAAGAAATAGGAGAAAAAAAATTTAACACTAAAAGAGTTAGAGTTTGGAAATGATTTTACTGTATTTTAAGAATTTATAACTTAACAAATGTGATACTTTAATTCATTAAAGGAAAAGGAACCCCAACTACTAGTAATAATTATATAGAGTATCAGAGAATGGATAGCAACTATATGCCTCATTTTAAAAATTGGTATAATTTCCAGACAATTTAGTAGATGGAGTCTTGCTGAATTTTATTAGTCAAGGAGTTACACAGAAAATTCTTTACCGATTTGAGAGGGGGGAAAAAAAACTACAGATCATTTCAGGTTTGCAAATTATCACAAAGATATCCTCGTCGTAATCGCTGAGATGAGACATAGGAAGAAAGATACGTTATTATTACTATTTTTTTGACTATTATCTAGACCTTTTTGGTCAAGTTATTGTTTTAACGTTTTAACGGAAAGAATCTGATGGTAGAAGATGGTGGAGAGGAAATTGGAGTTCGCGTTTGTTTTTTAGGTGGAGAAAATAAATTGGAAATTTATGAGCAAAATAAGGAATGTCATCAATAATTCATGTGTTGTATCTTGTCTATTATTTTTCTTCAATGGAAATACAGGAATCAAGCTAAGCATTTGCCGAAATTAATAATTGCTCTTAGTTTTTTCCTGATCCAAATTTCATGGATTTGTGCAACTACCCAGTAACTTAATTAGGACTTAATTCAGGGATTTTTTTTTTCTGTTTTCTAAATAAATGTACAGCTGATTTATTCTCCCTTCTTCTTTTTTTTAAGGAATCTAGGTAAAAATGGCTTATCTAACAGTAGCATTTTATTGGATAAATGTCCGCCTCCAAGACCACCATCTTCACCATACCCTCCCTTGCCAAAGGACAAGTTGAATCCACCTACACCTAGTATTTATGTGAGTCTGAATTGACTGACTAGAAATAAATCAAACCAGTGTTTGCATCTACCTGTCTTTCATAAGATCTTGTTTTAAAATAATATGGATGCCCTTTAGGAAACATTAAAATTATTGGCAGTCGCTTGAATATTTTGGGGGGAGGGGAAGATATATTCAAAAAAGACTTCATAATAGCATTTAAAACATACCTTCTAAACTATTAACCACGATTACTTTAAAGTAGTGAGAAATACTTCTTCCTGCCCCTAATTTTGAATTCATTTTAGGCCAAAATTACCTAAAAGTGTAACTTAAGCTGGGGTTTAAATCCGCGTTCTACTAGTTGTTTGAACCTTAACAGTCATTCTGCTTTATGCATCTACGACTATATATTTTAATTACCTTCAAAAAAGGCATTTGAGAACATAAAATGTGATCATAGGTATGTCATTTTTTAAAAGTTTGATAGATTATTTAAAGCTGGATGTTTTACTTTAAGGGCATTAGACATCTGATGTAGGAAGCTGATAAAAGTTCAATCAAAGCAACTCTTTGTTTCTCCCAAGTAGGCCCTCCTACCCCATTTCCTTCCATCCTCCCCCTTTTACCCCACATGAAAATAATTTCAAACTGTAAAGCTTGTTTTGGGAGATCTGGGCCTGTTTTTGCCCTCCAGGGGCCAATGTCACCCTATTAGGTTTTCCTCCAACGCGTTAACTATTGATCCTTCAGAATGTAAGGGAAGCACTGGGATAGGCGTGTAATAAACCTTTTAAACTGAAGTCTTGGGGCGGGGGGGGCACTTTTTGTGGTTTTCTTTTCTTTTTATGATGAAAAAAGCCCACATAACATAAAATTTACCAGCTTGACCATTTGCAAGTGTACAATTCAGTAGTGTTAAATAGTAGTCTCATTGTTGGAAAGCCCTTCTCCAGAACTTTTTCATCTTGCAAATCTGAAATCCTGTACCCATTAAGTAGCAACTCCCTTGTCCCTCGTCTCCTTAGTCCCTGGTAGCCACCACTGTTGTTCTCTACACCCTTTAGATACCTCATACAAGTAACATTATGCACAGTTTTTCTTTTTGTGACTGCCTTATTTTCACTGAGCATAATGTCTTCAAGGTTCATCCACATTGTAGCCTGTGAAAGGATTTTCTTCCTTTTTAAAGTTGAAAAATACTTAAATCACTTTGATTTTGAAGTTGCAATTTTATTTCTTCCCACATACTTTCTTCGAGATACAATGGACAAGAGAAATGTATGCGGCCACTGTCTAATTGCAGTTAGGATCAAAAGACAGTGATAAAATGCCGTGAAACATAAAATAGAAATTACAGGGTACATTATTGAAATCGCAATAAATAATAAATATGAATTTCGCATAATATTTAAATAAAAGGTCTGTTTCCCAGAGATCTAACAATATGTTTTAATTTTGCAGTTGGAAAATAAACGTGATGCTTTCTTTCCTCCATTACACCAATTTTGTACAAATCCAAACAACCCTGTTACAGTAATACGTGGCCTTGCTGGAGCTCTTAAGTTGGGTAAGCTTTAAATGAGAAAAAGGAAACTTTTTTTTTTAATTTCCTTTGCTATCTGTAATTCGTAAGCACTGACAGAACCTTGTTTCTCTTAGTTTTTTCGGTTTTCACATTTTCATTTTAATATTTTCCTGGGCATGTGTGCGTTAGTGTGCCACTTCTTTCGTCTATCATATGACGATACAATGATGATACTGGTTCCTGGCGATTTACTGGTGCTTTTAGATTCAGCTTGTATTTTGATCTAATTACATAATTATAGTTGTGATTAAGTTATCAAATGAAAAAAATTTTAATATGGAATGTAGATAAAATGTGATGCTACAGAGAAGTACTGTAGTCCGCTAACTAGTTCCTCGCACCAGAAGAAATCAAATAAGTGAAACTTCAGCCCCTGGCCCCCTGACTCCGCCTTTGCCCAAAGGTGCTATGATGATGATTAGGTCCCAGGCTTCATCGTATGCTCGTGTCACCCTGGCACGAAGCTCCGGGCGTGCGGAGGCGTGTGGTGGGTTTTCCTGGGGACCAGGTAGACATCCATAGCACGTTTTCCTTGTTTCTTAATAAAAGCACTTTTAATCTATTATCGCAAATATAATTTTCTTTTATTAACTACATTTGTTTATTTATGAAGACCTGGGACTTTTCTCTACCAAAACGTTGGTGGAAGCGAACAATGAGCATATGGTGGAGGTGAGGACGCAGTTGTTGCAGCCGGCAGATGAAAACTGGGATCCTACTGGAACGAAGAAAATCTGGCATTGTGAAAGTAATCGATCTCATACGACAATTGCTAAATATGCACAGTACCAGGCCTCCTCCTTCCAGGAATCATTGAGGGTAAGCGTTGACTCCCAGAAGATTATTTTATTTTGAAGAATGTTTTAACGTTTTGTGTTATGTTATTTTGAAAGGGTACATTTCTTTTGCAAGCAGCTCATTATTTTCTAGTTAATATGAAATACTTTGCAAGTGCCATCCACTTCCTTCTTAGGAAGGTTGAAGCAAGCCTGGGGATTGACAGATGTTGTTGCTGTCTAGTGAGAGGCTTCCCCGGACCCTGGGATGTTTCTGTTTAGGGCAAGGTTTCTGAATCTCCTTAATCTCGGCACAATTAACCTCTGGGATTGGATGATGCATCATTATGGGAGGCTGTCCCGTGTATTGTAGGGTGTTTGGGAGCACCCCCGACCTCTTCCCCACTAGATGCCTGTAGCACACCCCTTACCTTCTACTCCAGTTCTGACAGTCAAAAATGTCTCCAGACGTGCCAGATGTCCCTCGGAGGGTAAAATTGCCCCTGATAGAGAACTGCTGGTATCAGAGGCTAAAGTAAGTCTCAGGATTGCTTTATGCTTGCCAGGTACCTAAGCTTGTGCTTTCCCATTCTTCCCCTCTGCCAGGTTAGGATTATCTGATAGGTAGCTCCTCCAGGAAGCATTCGTGTTATACTGACTAGTCTCAGTCTGAAAGAGAAAACTGAGGGAGAGGCATACATTATTTCAAAATATATGGAAAATTAAAAAACAAAAGGGAAAAATAATCAGAGGATTATTATTCAAAGACCCAGGCCCTTCAGCAGTGAATCATTACTGAAATCCTTCAGCACTCTAATGAGAACTTTGTGAATTCTCCCACAAAGTGAACATAAAACATCGACAAAAATGAGTTTATTAAGTGTATTACTCAAACACTTGTCTGTACTAAGTTGTTTTGTACATATCCTACAGCTGAAACTTAATACGTGCCTGGAAGTCTTTAATTTGTAATTCATTAAATTTGCCTATCTGTTTAAAATGCTGCCCCAAGTTCACATTTTCAGTGAAGGCAACATTTGTACCTGTGAATTGTATGTTTTTCTTTCTCACGACCATTCTGTGTGTTGTACAGAGAAAGTAATTGTCCATATAAATCTCTAGTTCAGACTTTTGAGGTAGTTCAGCTGTGTGGTAGTATTATGTTCAGAATAGGATAAATAATAAGCAAGATTCAGAGATCACCAAAGGAAAATTTGGAAGAGTTGAAAAGCAAGGATAATAAGAGGCAGAGTATTTGTATGGGGTGGGATCTATAACCAAATAAAAGATGGCCCTTTTGTGTGCTTTGGAGGCATGGACATTACCTGTGAAAAATTTGACAAATGTTTAGGAATTCTACATTTATTTAAAGGGGGGGGGGCGCAAAATGTACCATGTATTGTGTTTTGGGTTGTTTTTTTTTAATGTTTATTTTTGAGAGCGAGAGAACATGAGCACGGAAGGGACAGAGACAGAGAGACACAGAATTTGAAGCAGGCTCCAGGCTCTGAGATGTCAGCACAGAGCCCAATGCAGGGCTCGAACCCAGAAGCTGTGAGATGATAACCTGAGCTGAAGTTGGACACTTAATGGACTGAGCCACCCAGGAGCCTCCCCCACCCCAAGTATTGTTAACTTAAATCAGGGCATTGTTAAGAGATACCATATCTATGACCGCAGATTGTAAATAATTGTAATATTTGCATTGAAAAGCACCTATACTTACGCAGCACTTATTTCCCTTTCTAATGTTGTAAGTGTGTTATCATTTTGTATAATTCATCCTTCAAGGAAAGATTTAACCCAGGGAGAATTTCTTCCTTTTTTCCATAATCAAAAACCAAGAACATCTTACCCTCCACCCTTATACATATACAGCTACATACACATGCACACACACCTCTGCTAGTTTAGGAAATTTCTAATCAAGATGGATACTTCTTAGGCCTCACAACCTAAAAAAATTCTGTCCTTTCAAAAATGGGGCAAGAATGAGAATCTGTAAGTTTTCTCCTGTACAGAAGAATGCTATTAAGAAAGACCTCTTTTTTAAAAGTTTTTTTTTTTTTTAACGTTTTATTTATTTTTGAGAGAGATACCGAGCATGAGCATGGGAGGGGCAGAGTGAGAGAGGGAGACACAGACTCCGAAGCAGGCTTCAGGCTCCAAAGGGCTCGAACTCACAAGCTGTGAGATCATGATCTGAGCCAGAGTTGGACGGACGCCCTACCGACTGAGCCACCCAAGTGCCCCAAGAAAGAATGCTTAACATAACTTTGTGGCTGAGGAGGTTGGGTATATGCCAGTGAGTGTTGACTTTTCCTGGGGTTTTATTTAATGTGTGGTCTTTGAAGAAATTTTCATGTGAAAGAGGCCTATAGAAACTTAGCTTCCAAATGTAGATAATACCATCATCTAGAGGTGAACTTTTTAGTTATATGATGGGAAAGGATAGCTGGTTGTAGAACACTAAGCTGGAATGTGTTTTGCTTAATCTATAGGAAGAAAATGAGAAAAGAAGTCACCATAAAGACCACTCAGATAGTGAGTCTACATCTTCAGATAAGTAAGTCATTTTTAATGTCCACTTAGTATTTCTCTTTAAAAGGCATGCTTGTAATATTGTCTCTCTCTTTTTAAGTTCTGGGAGGAGGAGGAAAGGACCCTTTAAAACCATAAAGTTTGGGACCAACATCGACCTGTCTGATGACAAAAAGTAAGTAGTAGTATTTTTGTGAACTAATGCAAGGAGGTATCCTCTGCGAGATACAGAATTGTCTACAGTTTCTTCTTCTCTTTCGTTGTTTGTTGTTTTTCTAACTTGATACACAAGTTTTAGATAAATTATTTTTGCTAGGTTTGACAATTAAGTTATTTTTGTTAACTTAAAACTCTTGTACAGATTTTCATTAGGGCCCTGACTGTATGCTCATTATGCGATCATAAAGTTGTATTTTATGATCAATAGTATGTAATAATTTTATAAAATAGAACTAGACAACAGTTATAAAAATAAGTCAGTTTTTCTCTTTCATTTACTCAGTCATTTTATGATGCTTTTCCGTTAGGAAGATATCTTTGGAAAAACTGAAAAATAAAGCATTTGAGTGTTTCCTGTACAAAAGTACAGTATTTATAGATTTCATTGTTTTCCTGATTGGGACACAAAGTGTTTGAAGAAATGGCTAACTTCCACAAATATTTGCAGCAGAGTTTCACTCTTGATCTGTCATTTTATTGCAGGTGGAAGTTGCAGCTACATGAGCTGACTAAACTTCCTGCTTTTGTGCGCGTCGTATCAGCAGGAAATCTTCTAAGCCACGTCGGTCACACCATACTGGGCATGAACACAGTTCAGCTGTACATGAAAGTTCCAGGAAGCAGAACACCAGGTAACTCTTGTGAACTAACGCACCTCCCACAGTTGAGAAACAGAATTAGCCAAAATAGGAAACCTGCAATAGAGAACGAGATTCTTTTCATTTATGGTGAATGAAATGGAAAGATTACCCCTGTTATAAGGTTTGACTTTTATTAAGATATTTTCTCCTTTATCTTTTTTTTTTTAATTACAATAGCAGTTTAATCTGGAAAGGAGTCTTTGGAGCACTGATTTGGAGCAGGAAGTCCCTGTGGCTTAGAGACTGTTATTGACCCTGTCTACTGCAGACTGAGGACGGGATACCGTTTCTTCTAAACTTTTTTTTTTTTTGCCACGCTCACACTAAGAAATACGTTTTATATTAACGACTGTGCGCCTATGTGCATCATATACAAGAACGGTTTCATCAAATAATGCCATTTCCTAGTCTGTTCCATTCTGTTTCATTTAAATAAGAAAGTATAGGTTGTAATTCTCTTAATTGGGCTGCAGCACACACCTTACACAAAACATTTGATGTGGAGACATTACAAGACTCCCCCTGGTGTCCAGTCAGGACTTTCCATTCACTAGGCTTGTCACTTGTGGCAAGTCACATTTCCTTCTCTGGGTCTTTTCCTGCGTTTGTAAAATGAATTACATTGGCTTTAAACTTAAAATTCCGTCCAACACTAATATACCATCTTTTTTGTGCTTCCTTGGATTGACATAAAATTTCAGCTGTCCACAACATTTAACAATTCACCCAGGTACTGGTGATAACCGGTTCACCTAGGTACCAATGCCTACGGGCTACATATCACCATCAGTGGTTTTGTTTTGGTACTCAAAGCAGCCATGGTTTGAAAACCAGATTGCTTTCTCCTTTGTCACCTGCTTATTGAATTGTAGCTAAAAAAATTGCTTCAAAATAGGCCTGTGCTTGCTTCTTGGTAGTGGTTCTGAGTCTTGACTGCCCATTAGAATCTCCTGGTATAAGGTAAGTTTTAAAAAACAAACAAACAAACTTTTTAAAATGTTTGTTTATTTTGAGAGAGACAGAGTGTGAACAGAGGAGAAACAGAGAGAGACACAGCATTCAAAGCAGGCTCCATGCTCTGAGCTGTCAGCACAGAGCCCAATGTGGGGCTTGAACCCAGGAAACGTGAGATCATGACCTGAGTCAAAGTCAGACACTTAACCAGCTTAGCCACCCAGATGCCCCTCCTGGTATAAGCTTTTTAAAAATAGTTGATTAACCTCTGGAGTTTGGGATCCAGGCATCAATATTAAGGAGAAAAAAAAAAAGTTTCCCATAACCCAGTTCTGTGATATTTTACTCATAGTTGGGTAAAGTGGAAACAGATCTGGAATAAATGGCAGAAGACCTATAATGCTCCCCGCTTTCTCATTTAGACACTGATGTAAACACTGGGCAAGTTAGTTGAACTCTCTAGTTTGTTTTTCTTATGTATGTAGTTATTGGATTGGTTCTGTTAAGATTCATTTCAATTGAAAATTTCTCCAGTTTGAATTATTTTATACAAATAATATCCTCAACTCAAAAAGAATGCAGTTTTTCATTACAAATCAAGGGGAAAAGCAAACATGATAGATTACTTCTTTGTCACTTGTGTCTGAACTGTTTTGAGTTTTTTGTTGGTTTCTGTTAAGGCATTAGTTTTCAGTAGTGTCCTATTCTCTAAAGAATTCCCTTAGGGGTAGTACTATCTTATAGAAATAGAATGTAAATCATGTATGATTTAAAATTTTACAGTAGTCATACCAATGTAAAACAATAGGTGAAAATATTAACCTGGTGTATCCAGATCATATAATTTCAACATGTAATCAGTGCAGAAGTTACTGGGATTTTTCATATTTTTTTCATATTAAGTCTTTGAAATCCAGTGTGAAGTTGACAGGTTTTGCACATCTCAGTTTATATTAACTACATTTTAGGTGGTTACTGTATTAGACAACTCGGTCTTAGAAGAAATGTATACTTCAGTTCTCTTTTTAAAAAATTATTCTAGGGGGGGCGCCTGGGTGGCTTAGTCGGTTAAGCGTCCGACTTTCGCTTAGGTCATGATCTCGCGGTTCGTGGGTTCGAGCCCCGCGTCGGGCTCTGTGCTGACTGCCAGCTCAGAGCCTGGAGCCTGTTTCAGTCTGTGACTCCCTCTCTCTCTGACCCTCCCCTGCTCACACTGTCTCTCTCTCTCCTAGAAATAAATAAAACATTAAAAAAATTAAAAAAAAAAATTATTCTAGGGATGCCTGGGTGATTTGTCGGTTAAGCATCTGACTTTGACTCAGGTCATGATCTCACGTTTCAGGAGTTCGAGCCCCACATCGGCCTCTGCTCTCAGTACAGAGTCTGCTTCAGACCCTCTCTGCCCCTCCCTGGCTTGCCTGCCCTCCCTTCCTCTCTCTCTCTCTCTCTCTCTCTCTCTCTCTCTCTCTCAAAAATAAACATTAAAAAAAAATAAAAAATTATTCTGAATACTTTTTTTATGGGACAAACACTTTGTTCCTGCAGGTACATAGATAAATGTGAGCCCTGCTTCAGTGGACTTTCTGATCGGTCATGTATGTTCTAAACTGTAGAGATGCTGTCATTTCCCCTCAAAGACTTTGAGTTTGATGGTGGGATCTCAGCATCTCTAATTATAATTAGTGCTAAATTTCATTTTGGAGTCCATTCCATGGACAGTTTCAACCATCTATCCATGGTAAGAGATCGTTTATAAGTAGTAAGAGTACTGTCTCCACATTGTGCTAGAATACGTAAAAGTACGGTGAGAGCACCTACATTTTTCTTCACTGAGTCAAAAATCACACACCCAAACTAATCCTTTTAAAGTATGCAGTTCAGGGGCGCCTGGGTGGCTTAGTCGGTTAAGCGTCCGACTTTCGCTTAGGTCATGATCTCGTGGTTCATGGGTTCAAGCCCCGTGTCAGGCTCTGTGCTGACTGCCAGCTCAGAGCCTGGAGCCTGTTTCAGTCTGTGACTCCCTCTCTCTCTGACCCTCCCCTGCTCACGCTGTCTCTCTCTCTCTGTCTCCTAGAAATAAATAAACATTAAAAAAATAAAAAAAAAAAATAAAGTATGCAGTTCAGTTGCACTTGATGTAGTGTACGCGTACTGTGCTGCGTAGCCATCGCCTCTGTGTAGTTCCAGGACACTTTCATCTGCCCAAAAGGAAACCTCATACCCATTAAGCATTCACTTCCCATTCCCTGCTTCTCTCTGCCCCTGGCAACCTCTAGTCTGCTTTCTAGCCCTATGGAATTACCTGTTCTGGATGTTTCATATAAATGGAATCATATAATATGTGCCCTTTTGTGTCTGGCTTCTTTCACTTCACATGTTTTTGAGGTTCATGTTCATCTGCATCATATTAATGGTTCAGTCCTTTTTATGTCCACATGTTTCATTATATGGGTATAGAACATTCTGTTATCTCTTCATCAGTTGAGAGACATTTGCATTGATTCCACATTATAGCTTTTGTGAATAGCGTTTCTATGAACATTCATGTACCACTCTTTGTCTGAATCCCTGTTTCTTCCAGTTCTTTTGGTTATATACCTAGGATTCAAATTGCTGGGTCATATGGTGCTTCTGTGTTTAACTTTCTGAAAAATTACCAAACTGCTTTCCACAGTAGCTGCACCATTTTACATTTGTGCTGGTGATACATGGAAGTTCCAGTTTTTCCATTTCCTCACCAACACTGATTATTTTCTTTTTTTTTTTTTTTTTTTCTTAGTATGACTGACTCAGTGGATGTGAAGTGGTTTTGATTTTCATGTGCTTGCTGGCCATTTGTATTATCTGCTTTGATAAAATGTCCATTCAAGTCCTTTGCCCATTTTTTAGTTCAGTCCTGTATCCTTTTGTTGTTGAGTATAGTGGGAGCTTATATCCTGAATATTGCTCCCTTATCAGATACATGATTTGGATATACTTCCTCCCATCCTGTAAGTTGTTTCATTCTCTTGACAGTGTTCTTTGATGCACAGAAGTTTTTAATTTTGATGAAGTTCAGTTTATCCATTGTTTTGTTTGGTTTCTTGTGCTTTTGGTGTTCTATGTGAGAAACCACTGCTGAATTCAAGGTTGCAAAATTTTAGCCCCTTTTTTCTTCTTGGATATTTATAGTTCTGGGTCTCATATTTAGATCTTTGATCCATATTAAGTTAATTTGTATATATGGTATGAACTCCAAGGATCCAAATTCATGCTTTTACATAGCTATCCCAGCACAATTTGTTGGAAAGACTATTTCCTCTGTAGAATGATCTTGTTAACACCCTTGTTGAGAGTCGGTTGACCACATATGTATGGATTTGTTTCTGGAATCTTGATGCTCTTCCGTTGATTTATATATCTCTGTCTTTATGCCAATATCACACTGGTTTGAGCATTGTAGCTTTGAGGTAATGTTTCAAAATCGGAAAGTGTGAATCTTCCAAGTTAGGTAGTTACCTTTACTGTAGTTCTTTATCTCTTCATCATAGGGCTGTGAATTCCTGTGTAGTGTTGTTTCAACTCAGCCTGAAAATTCAGCCTCTAGCATTTTCTTATATGGTAGATTGGCTAGTGACAAACTCCTTCAGCTTTTATTTATCTGAGAATGTCTTAGTTTCTCCTTTATTTTTGAGGAATAGTTTTGTCAGATATGAAATTCTTGGTTGATGTTATTTCCTTCCTTCCTCCTTTCCTTCCCTTCCCTTTCCCTTTCCCTTTCCCTTCCCTTTCCTCTTTCTTCCTTTCCTTTCTTCAGTTTAATTAAATGTGTTACCTGCTTGCTTTCTGGTCTCCATGGTTTCTGATATGAAATCAGCTATTAATTTTATTAATAATCCCTTGTATTTTCTTTTTTCCTGCTTTCAAAATTCCCTTTGGGTTTCTAGTCAAACTACTGTAATGTGTGAATCTCTTTGAGTTTTTTTTCTACTTTGGAGTTTCTTTAGCTTCTTTGATGTATTATGGCATGTCTTTTGTCAAATTTTGTCCTTTTCTTCTTCTGGGACTCCCACAGTGCATAAGTTAGTGTATTTGATGGTCTCTTAGGCTCTGTTAATTTTTCTTCATTCTATTTTCTTTCTTCTCAAAATGGTTGGCTTCATTTGATCTTTCCACAAGTTTGCTGATTCTTTATTTAACCTGCTCAAATCTGCTGTTTGAAAGCCACTAGTGAATTTTTTATTTTGGTTGTACTTTGTAGCTTCAAAATTTTATTTCTTATAACCTGTTACTTTGTTAATAACCTCAATTTGTTAAGACATTATTCTCCTTATTTCCTGTGGCTCTTGTTCATGATTTCTTATAGCTCTTTAAGTATATTTAAGACACTTGATTTAAAGTGTTTGGCTAATAAGTCCAATGTCTGTGCTTTTTCAGGAATAAGTTTGTTAATCCCCCCTCACCCCCTTGTGACTGGGACATACTTTCTTGTTTATTTGTAAGCCTTATAATTTTTTGTTGAAAACTGACTTTGAGAATTACCCATTAAAATAAAAAAGGCTGTATTCTCTGTCGGATGTGGTCTAGCATTGTGCTGCAATTTTTACATTTTGAATATTATCGTGTGGCAGTTAAATCCAGGATTTCTTGCTTGTTGTGGGCTCCAGGTTGTCTGTTTGTTCAGTGTCTTTTCCAGAGTATTTTCACAGAGCCATATTCCGTGGTGTGCTTGGATACTGAAGTCTCTTTTCCATTATCTCAGCAGTTAACCAGTGACCTGACAGAGATTTCCTTCAATGTTTTGTGCAAAAAAGGAAAGAAAAAGAATGGAAAAACTGAACAGAAAGAAAAGAAAAAATATTTCTCCGGGTCTTTGCAGATTGCCTCTGTGTTGAGTCATTCCTTCTGCACTTAGCCATGCTGCTTACAATTGTATTTTCAGCCTTTACCTCCTTGCTTGCACTGAGCCGAAAGATGAGCAAGAAGTTAAAATTTATGGTCTTAGGTGTTTTTGTTTGGTTTTGTTGTTTGTTTGTTTCCTCTGAGCATGCGCCCTGCTCTAGGTATGCCTGTAGCTTTCTAAATTCTCTAGTATTCACAGGAACTTTTCAAAGCCTTTACCCCCCCCCCCCCCAAAAAAAAAATCTCAGTTCCCAGCCTTTCTTTTCAGGCCTTTGGTGTGTCTGTTGTTTGCCCCAGCCATTTGTTTGTTTGGGTTTTTATTTTTGCCCCTGGTAACATCAGCTTGTTCATTGGTCTTTCAATGTTTGGGGGGGGAACCTTCTCCACTGAACCACTTTCCCTGATAGAGTGAAGCTCCTTGTGTCAGTCTTTTGAGGAAACTCCAGTCAGGTCAAAACAGAAAAACATAGTTCTTTGGAAGCAGGATCCATACTGCTCCCTCCAGAACCAAGAACACTCACACAGTTAACATAAGACCACCATTTTTAAGTCCACTGACAACACTAGTGATGTGAGCGGGGATAAGGTAAGTTAAAAGTGACATCTTCTACTGTGTTTAAGTTCTCTTTCTTCTGGTCAGGCATTCACTTGGTTGCTGTAAACCTTTGACTGTCACCCAGAGTTCTGGTAAGGTTGCTTCTGGGAGTTTTTACTAGGGTTTTTTTTTTGTTTTTTTTGGTAAGTCTTTCTGGAAAGTTCTCCGGAGTTATCTGCTTCATTTTTTGTTGACAGTACTCCCATAGCTGCATTTGAAAACCAGATTTCTTGCCTCTTTACTGATGTACAAATACTACTCATGATAAATGGGGATTAGTTCACAAAGAAATGGTAATAAGATCAATAATAGCTAATACCACTTACCATATATTCAGTGCTGTTCAGAGCAGTCATTATTTCATTGATCCTCAAAACAGCACAATGATTTATTGGAATTGTTATTATCTAATCTTATATGTAAGGAAACTGAGTCAGAAAGGTTTAGCAACTTACCCAGGTTCACATAAGCTTAGGATCCCAGCTCTAGAGCTTTGAATCATGATTTAGACTGCATTCCTCAGAAGCTCTTACTGAGTAAGTTAGGAGTTAATCAAACTGCTCTAAAACTAGACTTGACACAAAAGTCATGACAGACACCTGAATACCGCATTCTCTGTTGAACATTTCTGAGGTCTCATTTCTAAAGACACATTTTTCTATAGAATTTATAATGTACTGATTACTGTTTTTCTTTTCACATTTCAGGCCATCAAGAAAATAACAACTTCTGTTCAGTTAACATAAATATTGGTCCAGGTGACTGTGAATGGTTTGTTGTCCCTGAAGGTTACTGGGGTGTTCTGAATGACTTCTGTGAAAAGTAGGTTTCCAAACTAAATTTTCTATAAACATGATTGTTGGAAAACAGTAGTTGTAAAGGACAACTTACTAATAAGCTGGCTTTCCCATGCATGTAACCAGTTTTACCGTTCAGCAAAAAGATTCACTTCATTTGATTCCAAACCTATCATTTTGTATTACTGAGAACACTTTAAGAAAGATTCTTTGAAACTGCTCTATGCAATAGTAACAGTCTTGAATTTAGAGGATAGGAAGGTTGAATTGTTTATTAGGTTAATTAAACAGTTGATGCATAAATACATGCTCATGTGGGAGGTCTGTATTCTAAGAAAAATTAGTTTACTATAAATGGTTTTAAAAGTGGAAGGAATTCTGTGATTGAACACCTCTTTATTATAGGTTATTAATAACTCAGGCTTGAACATCCTACTCTTCGTCATATCACTATGATATAAATTCTTCTTAAAACTATATTGACAACTTTTCCTATAAAAGGATTTTATAAAATTGAATCAGCTGCATTGGATTTTGTTTTCTATAATTGAAGGAACTTACATAATGGAAGTATTCCTTTCCTTAAAATCCTAGAAATAGCCTTCTTTTATTTAATAAAGGAAATACCTTCCTTTATTTCCAAGGTGTTAGAGAGTACCTTGGAATTATTTTCATTGGTTTAAACTAATTATTTGTCTAAATGGAAACTTATTCTCTCCCCCCCCTTTTTTTTTAAAGTACTCTATTATGTAAGCACGGGATAGTTTCAGTTAGTAGTAACATTGGAAAATTATTATGTTTAAAAGCATAAATTATATATACACTTGCTGTTCTTCTCCCCACCCTAGGAAGACAAAGGGGGAACCACCAAAAACATATACATTATGAGAGACTTTGAAAACTAATTATACACATACTCCACATACTGACTTGTAATTTTTTTATTTTGGGTTACAGGACCTTTGCCGTGAATGTCTTGATTTAGTAGGAAGTGTAAATATAGTTACCCCAAAACCCACATTAGTCCAAAATTTCCTTGTATACAAGCAAAAGATAATTAACCTTTCATTGTTTTTGCTATTTAACATACAGATTTCCTTTCCTATAAGAAATCCAAAGATGTGAAATTTTAAAGTTTCAAATGCTCTGATGAAATAACCTGATCTGCTTTAATCTGTGCTTACTTTTATGGACCAGCAGTATGGTAGTAGCAGAGACAGACTTGTGTAGGAGATCTCCATTGCACTATAGAAAGATTTGTATTTATTAAACTTGGAGATAGTGGTATGTTATTACAGCTACAGTACGCTGATCCTTATTCATTATTTCTGAGTAGGGATTCGCTATCTTTATGATTTAGGTTTTTTGTGTGGTTTTTTTTTTCCTTATCTAAATGGGGAGGTAACCTGGGAACAAAGATAATTAGAAGAGACAGATGATGTCTAAAAAGTGTGGACTTGGGGATAATGAAAATATCAAAGTTAGTATGATGGGCTAGGTAAATTTAAGCTCCAGAAATAGCACTTGCCACTTCAGCATTTCCATGTTATTTTGTTTCACAGAAGGATTGTTCCTTTTGATACTGACTGATACTGACCGTGTCTGTAGTTTGTGTTATGACTTTAAACAATATCTGTCTTGAAATAACCATTCATTTGGATATATGATAAAAAGGATGCTTTTTTGGGTAACTTTAATTTTTTTTTTTTCCTTACTTTTGGATAGAAACTTTCCTCCAATTTTATGATGGCAACACATGGGTGAAGTAGGAAAGGATTTGTGTTTGTAATCGTATTTTGCTTCATAAGCAATTGTTTCTGGACTGTATATCTACTTAGCCTTATCACAGACCGTAAGCCAGTCCATATCCCCTTGCAGTTAGGCCACCACTGGCAGTCTGTTCTAGACTTTGAAGAGCACCCTTGCATTTTTTTCAAGGAGAAAAATAAGGCACACATTCCATCTACATCAGAGTTCAGTGAGATTTTCCCACAAAGAGCCAGATAATAAATATTTTAGTTTTCGCAAGTTATATGGTCTTTGTCACAGCCATGTCACTGCAGGAAATAGGCAGTCATACCTAATAGGCAGTCAGTGAATGGGCCTGGCTGTGTTCTAAAACATTTCTTATTTACAAAAATAGGCAGGCTGGATTTGGCCCACGGGCCCTAATTTGCCAGCCCTTGATCTAGACAAAAAATTAAACCAGTGAGAATAATTTCAAGGTACACTTTATCCTTCGGCGCAGGACATAGACATATCGTGGAGACTGTTCTTAGATCTTAAAGAAAGGAACATTTCCATTCTGCAAGTTTTTCCTTCCCCAAGATATAGCTAATTTAATTTTATAAAATTCTTCTGGAGGAAAAGTTTGCTGTGTAGTTTAAAAAATACTTCGTGTTGTATCTTGATGAAGTAGAAGCAGCAGCCAGATTTTGAAGTAAAAGCTCACGGATAGGGTCCATAGAGTGCTCCCAAAGTATATTGGTGGCAGTAATGATGGTTATTTGTGCGTGTGTATGATTGTTCATTTTTTATAAAGTTCTCAGCTGCGTAGTTTTAGTTAACCAGTCTTCAAAACAGTAGCGACTGACATCCTGTCCCCCTTTCCTGCTTAGAATTCAAAACAGTAGTAGAGGCCGTTCTGTTTTCCACTTTCCCTCAGAAATTGAAGTTCCTGATAATTTTATCTGCCAAGAAGTTTTGACCTTGCTTTCCAGTCTTCTTAATTAGTTTATTAAAAGTATTTGATCCGTTCGCATTATTTTTTTCTTATTTCAGAAATAATTTGAATTTCCTAATGGGTTCCTGGTGGCCTAACCTTGAAGATCTTTATGAAGCAAATGTTCCAGTGTATAGGTTTATTCAGCGACCTGGAGATTTGGTCTGGATAAATGCAGGCACTGTTCATTGGGTTCAGGCTATTGGCTGGTGCAACAACATTGCTTGGAATGTTGGTCCACTTACAGGTATTTTAAAGAATATGCTAAAAAACAAAAGTTTAATTTATAAAAGATTGTATCTGATAGGTTTGGTTTTTTTTTTTTCTTGGAATATAACTCACTAGAAATTGGAAGAAAAGTTATCTCTCCTTGAATAACATTTTTATTTGTAGTACAAGAAATTAAATTCAGTTAACAGGTAGAAGTCCAAGACCATAGGTCTCAGCAAATAATAAATGTATGTCTTAATATACAAGGAAGATATACTTTGAATAATTTTTAGAGTGCTTCGTTTTGTTTTATAAAGGAAACCCTTTATGGGAGAAGGCAAAGTAGAGTGGTTATTCATGCGTCCAAATTTTTCTTTTATCTGGGATGTCATATGAATAGCCCTGTAATGTCAAAACCTATTTGAATTATGCCCGCCTTCAGGCAGTGGATACTTCAGATTAAAACCATGGCCTTTGGAGCTAGAAAGACCTGGAGTAGGACCAGGACCTGGCTCTTGCAACTTTGGGCAAGTTATGTAACCTCTCTGGGCCTCAATTTCTTCATCTGTTTAATGGGAATAATAAAATTAATAAGGTGATGATAAAGATTTAAATGAGATAATGTATAAAAAACAGCTCAGCACAATGCCTGGCACATAGTTATAGTAAGCACTCTTTATGTGTTCGCTACTATTAGTATTGCCATAATTATCAAAGAAACATAAAAATTATTTTTGTAATGTTTTGAGGTTTTCAGAATTGGTATTGATATCATCTGAGAAGGTGATAATGGTAACTTCCTATCTTTTGGTACTTTGGGTTGCTTTATAACTGTTTTTTTTTTCCTAGCCTGCCAGTATAAATTGGCAGTGGAACGGTACGAATGGAACAAATTGCAAAGTGTGAAGTCAATAGTACCCATGGTTCATCTTTCCTGGAATATGGCACGAAATATCAAGGTCTCAGATCCAAAGCTTTTTGAAATGATTAAGTAAGTGCTTTCTAAAACTGCTGTAGTCCCTCTCTTTTTTGGGGAGTGTTAACTATTCAGTACTTCCCCCTAACCCCCATAGAATTCTGTTGACATCACAACAAAATGGTCCAGAAGTCTAGTAAAATGTAATACGAGAATTCACACATTAAAAATATTTTTCCCTTCCAAATAGTACACTATGGTACAAAGAGGAAAGAAGGCACACAAATGATTTCAAACCAGTAGATTCACAGACCTGTGCTTCCCCACTACCCTCTGAACCACCTGGTTCCTCGGAGAACTTGAGTTTTAATATCAAAAGATTGCCCTTAGTATCAGGGGGAGAGAATGGCATCGTAAAGTAATTTGCTGGTGCAGAAAAATTAGCATTTAATACAGGGATTTAAGGAAAACAGCAAGTTTTTAATTGTTTTAATGAAATCCTCCATCTTTAATTGTCCCTTTTCTTACCTGTTTTAAACACCTAATGCAAGTTGTTTGAATATATACATCCTAGTAAGCTGCTCATTCATTGCCAGTTTCTGTTCTAGCTATTTTGCAAAGGTTTTTAGAGGTAATATTTTCAAACAGTGCTATATAGCAGTGTTTCCCTAAGCTGTCTTTTCTACTACTACTGACCCTGCCCTGAAAAGGTGGGGGGTTCTGGTCAAAGAAATCTGCAAAATGATGGATTAGCTAAAGTTTTACAAGTCCTTCTTTTATTAGTCTTTGTACAATGTTGCAGGGACTGTAAGTGTTGCTGTGTTCTGTGAATGGGGAAGGGCGAGGGCTCTATAATGTATTTCCCAAACTTACTTGTTTGACCAGTATCTTTTGAGGAATTGACCTCAAAAACTCATTTTGGAATACACTGCTTTATACTCACTGATAAAATAAGTTTTTTGTCTTTGTTAAAGTAGTATTTACATTAAATATTTCTCCTGCAGCTATCTTTTAATTTGGTCAGCATATGTTGTTTTCAAAATACTGTCATTTAAAAGTAATCCTGCTTTAATAAAATGATTTCATTAACCTAAGTCCCTAATGTCATTCACACAGAAGTAGTGTGGTCAAGGTAACACTCCTCTGGATTATCTTATGATACAGTCCTTTATCACTTGGAGTATTTTATCTAGCCCTGGGCAGAAGTAGTAGGGGAGACACGAGGTAATAAAACCCCAACCGTAGCAAGTAATGTACAAATCCTTTTAAAAAGTTGGATCTTGGGTACCGTACTCTATACATGTAATTGGTGATGGGGTGTGAGGAGTTGCCTGTCTACTTATCTCATTCTATCTGGGAGGAATCAAGGAAAGGTCATTGTCATACTCTGTTCTGCCTACCTGGTCTTCATTAATTTAAACATCTCTCACTTCTATCATCTTTTCCATCCTTCCACCCCCATCATCCTCGTCATCCTTCTAATCTCCTTCCGGTTTATCATTATACCTTTTAACATCATGACCATCGACACTTGTATCATCTTCATTATAAAGTTGTGTTGTGTTGAAATTGGATACACACCAATTTGAATGTTTTTCAACTCAGAAAACCCGTGATACTGTTTTTCCTCATACCTGCCTTACTTCTTTAAATCTAACTGCACTTACATGCTTATTTTACTCCTCACTGCAAAATGTTCAATCATCTGAATCTTGATTGTGTCCCTCGTTATATTAAGAATTCTGCTCCCAGCTTGAGTTGTCACGAGATGTGATTAGCAAGCTCCTTTTGTCATCACACTGATTGAGAATGTTCAACATAAATTCAGACCCCTTAGCTTTGCTTTATAAACTTCCCTGTTAAAACATAGTCATTTGGCTATTGCTAAAAATATACTTTTCACCAGCCAGCATTGTTCCCTTTCTTTCATTTGTACTCTCTGTAATGAGTATTTGCTGACTGTATTACAGAGCTCTGGGCTAGGCACGCAGGGTGGGTGTGTTTGGCTGGCTGTGTCTGGCTGTGGGTCTTGGCTTAAAGGAAAAGTGCGTATAAATAAGTCGATTGAAAGAAGTACGACGACAGGGTCCACTGGATCCTTTCCAGCTCCATGGAGTCAGAAAAGGGAGTGTACTCTGGGAAGCAGATAGTTTGCGTGAAGGGCAAAGATGTGGATGCGGGGAGAGGACAGAGGACAGAGGGACAGCACCTAAAGCCGGCTGAAGACCAAACTCTTGGCGCCAGCAGAAAGATGCTTCGGTTCATCTACCAAGGAGTACATAGCGTGTCTCCGCCAGTCCGGCACGCTCACATTTTCCTCCAGGGAGGGGGCGAATCCCTGTTCGCTGGAGCACTGGGAAACTAGTTGGCTTCTGTGGAGGGCCTCGTGCTCGTCCGATCAGGCTCGGCACGGGAAACCGCGTGGCCTGTGCCGGCTCCTCCTTTCTTCCCCCTGCTCGCATTCCGTCCCCAGCACCCACTCTTCTGCTCCTCCCTCCCCTGACTTCTTCCCGACTGGGTATTATTTGCATGATCTTAAATGTACATAGGGTACAACTCCGCTACGTCCACATTAACAACAGTTGGTGGTACATTCGAGCTTGAGACCGTGCGTGTGACGGGTAGTGGAATACGCTACAGCTGTAAAAGTTCTTGGGAGATCATGCGTTGTGTGCCAGTCATTAAGTCTGTTCTGTTAGCTTTTGGTGGGTTTTTAACTAATAGGATCTAATTTGGGTTTCCTAGAGATCTTTCTGGCAGTGAAGTAAATAGAGTCCATTTTTGCACGGCAAGAGGAAGGAATGAATCAAAGGTAGTTTGGGTTTTCAAGTCAGGATCCTAGATGGTTTTAGTAATACTGCCGGCTAATAAATGGAGTGTGGTACTTTGCTGAGCCCTGAGAAGAGCGCTTCCCGGACTGTGTCTCAGTTAAACTTCTCAGCATCCCATGTTCACCCCGTTGATTAGAGCCGAGATTTAAACCTGTAGCTGTCTTACGTAAAAGCTGCTCGTATGCATCTTTGGCACAGGACTTCGTTCTGGGGCAGCGGCAAGTTTGAGGAGCCGCTAAGTTGGTTGCAAAGAGCTGTTTACCGGAAGCTGTAGGAGATGCAGAACTCCCAAGAGTGAGGTTAGAGCTGGCAGACTAGGGAGTCTTCTATCTAGCTGTTTGTTGTTGTATTGAGAGAAGGAAAGGGGAGGGATTGGGGACAGAGCTTAGAGGAATACTGTTATTTAAGAAAAACAAATATGTAAACCAAATAAAGGCCGGAAGAGAGCATGGGGAATATATATCGTTAACAGGAATACAGAGAGGGGGTCTTTTTCCACAGGCTCAGTTTTACTGTAAAATTGTACCCACATCACTGCTTTGGTCTTCTCAAGCCCTGGCTTGTGAGCCGTACCGGTTCTTAAGGAATGGTTCTCTGTTGGCCTTCCTTTCCTCTGCCTAGACTTGTTTTCTTCATCTCCGTTCACTCCGCCGTCTGTAGCGCTTGGCTTCTTCTACCTTCAATATGCCCCCGTCACTTCTCTTGCTGAGGTTCCCAGTGACCAGCTGATCTAAGCACACAGAGGCACAAACTCGAGTTCATTCTTTCTTTAACATCCCCATTTGTACCTCTGATCTGACCCCCACTTTCTTTGTCAGCCGTTGCTCCCGCCGCTGCCTTTAGAGGAGTGCTTACATTTTCCATTTTATTTTTACTACTCTTTTGTATTTTAAAACCACTTTAATCTGAACTGCGATTTTTACACCTCCCCCCTTTTTTCTCCTTGTTTGAATTCTCTTTGGGTAAAGCATTAATTCAATATACGTTGAACATGTGAATCGTAGGCTGTTTTAAGAGAAAAAAAAACTATCCATTCCATGTAAGAAGCGAATTAGAGCTTAACTTCCTCCCTGAATTATTTTTTTTTAGTTCTTAAATACTATGAATCAACAATGTGATTTTTCTTTTTTAGGTCTTCGTAGTTAAAGTGTTAATCAAATATAACGGAAACAAAATTTACCTTGTGCCTTCACATCTCCTCACCCATTCAGCTCCACCCAGTTCTTTTCATGCTTTCATATTCGTTTGATATTTATCATGAACCAAGTTGGTGCTGTGGTATTATGCTAGGGGAGAAAGGGACTCGATGATTTCTCAGGCCGCTTATAATAAATCGGGAAATTGACTAGTCAGTACGTTAAAATATGTGATCTTTGCTTGTGAAGATCCCGCTTAAAAAAAAATGAGGGAGCACAGAGCAGACACTTCTGAGAGAGGGGAACATTTAGGAAAGGCCCCATAGAAGTAGCAGAACCACAGCTCCATAGTCCTTTATCTTAAACCCCTTAGGCCAAATGTGGCGTGCTATTCAGAATTCCTACACTAATACAACGCGTATATAATCTATTTTGTTCTTCGAGTAGGGTCTGTGACGTTATCTGGGAACCAAACACATTAGTATTTCTGCAGTAAATCATATAGTCGCTCCGATGAGCTAAGTGAAAACTATTTTATAGCCTCAGGTCAAGTTGTAACACCAAGTGAGTTTACGTAAAATTTATGAAAAATTTGCAGTAGTATAAGAGATTGAAAGTCTGTTTGTACCAAGGGAATTAATAGTGGGAGAATGGTGCTGTCTCCTGTTGTCACCTACTACTAATTCCTTGTTATCATTTTCAGAATGAATTACCGGTAGTTGCTTAAACAAGTCAGTGTTATTCTTGGGATTTTTGGTTTTTGGTTTTTTTTTTTTCTTTACACTTTACAAGTTCAAGTTGAGACCTTTAGAATCCTGCAATTCCATAAAGTACTTTTTCTGAATAAGTCATGTAGTAATCTCTTCCCATTTCTACATCCTAGCTGTTTTACTAAAATACACTAATCTTCATACTCTGCTCCACATTCTTCCAAGTACCTCCTACATTGGCATGGTCAGAAGAGTATTCGTTATCTTGATTAAATCTTTCATTTCATAGTGCAGTGAACTTGACTTGCATAGTTAACAGCCTAACTCCTCAGAACAATTTCAGTGGAAGCTCAGTGTATAACTTTCTCTTTTGATTTCCTTTAACTGCTTAAATGAAC